GTGACCTCGCCATCCCTGGGGGGATGCGTGTGAAACTGTCGCTACGTTCGAGGCCTGCTGGGGGGCCCAGCACAATGGGTACCCACGGCAGACGCAATGGGACCTCGCCATCCCTGGGGGGGGGGCTGCGAGTTGTGAAACTGTCGCCACTTTCGAAGCCTGCTGGGGGGTGCCCAGCAAAGTGGGTGCTCACCGCAGACTCAAATTAGACCTCGCCATCCCTGGGGGGGCTGCGATCTGTGAAACTGTCGCCACTCTCGAGGCCTGCTGGGGGGCCCAGCACAGCGGGCACTCACGCCAGACTCAAATGCGACCTCGCCATCCCAGGGGGGCTGCGATCTGTGAAACTGTCGCCACTTTCGAGGACTGCTGAGGGGCCCAGCACACTGGGTACCCGCCGCAGACTCAGATTAGACCTCGCCATCCCTGGGGGGCTGCGATCTTTGAAACTGTCGCAACTTTCGGGGGCTGCTGAGGGGCCCAGCACAGTGGGTACTCACGACTGACTCAAATGGGACCTCGCCATCCCTGGGAGGCTGCGATCTGTGAAACTGCCGCCACTTTCGAGGCCCGCTGGGGGGGGGGCAGCACAGTGGGTACTCACCGCAGACTCAAATTGGACCTCGCCATCCCTGGGGGGCTGCGATCTGTGAATCTGTCGCCACTTTCGAGGGCTGCTGAGGGGCCCAGCACAGTGGGTACCCACACGCAGATTCAAATTAGTCCTCGCCATCCCTGGGGGGCTGCGGTCTGTGAAACTGTCGCCACTTTCGAGGCCTGCTGGGGGGCCCAGCACAGTGACGCTACACGCAGATGCAAATTAGACCTCGCCATCCCTGGGGGGGTGCGATATGCGAAACCGTCGCCACTTTCGAGGCCTGCTTGCGGGACCCAGCACAGTGACGCCTCCCAAGTAGCTGACACATCAAGTCGATTGTCAATACAAGTTTCGGCCAACTCCTTGTTTCCATTGGTACAAATGGGTTGGGTACGGCACAGGGTAATTTTGTTTGTGCACTTAATTGTTGTGCATGGCCTTGAGAAGCTGGCGCAAGTTGTGGCGGACGCAGTCCCGCAGGTCCTGCGACAGCGCCTCGGGGCGCAGGGGTGGCGGCACGCCGCCCACGCCGTCGAACACGGCGGCCCAGTGTGCGTCGTGCGCGGTCATGTCCGCGTTTGCGGACCCGCCGGGTGCCTTCAAAGGGTGTTGGGTCTTCGCGGCGAAGCCCCAGAGGGAGAACATCGAGGCGGGCATCGGGCGATGCCTGGTGGTGCGGGGCGTGGCTCGCGGTGCGCTCGGCTTGGCGGAGAACGCTGCGATTGCGGCAGAAAAAGAAAAGAGAAAAAACGAAGTGGGAGATTTTTCCTTGCGGCGTAATACGAATAGCGTTTACCAACTGTTCGCCCGTCCCTCCTCCTCCTCCTCCTCCTCCGCCTCTTCCACTTCCTCCTACCTCGAATGGGCATGTGCAGCCCGACGCAGTGGGCATTGCACCCGAAGAGTTGGGTTGGACATTGCACCCGACGCAGTGGGCATTGCACCCAGACGATTAGGCTTTGCACCCGAAGAGTTACCCGAAGGGTTGGGCGTTGCACCCGAAAAGGTTGGGCGTTGCACCCGAAGGGTTGGGCATTGCATCCGAAGGGTCGGGCATTGCACCCGAAAGAGTTGGGCATTGCACCCAAAGGGTTGGGCATTGCACCCGAAGGGTCGGGCATTGCACCCGAAAGAGTTGGGCATTGCACCCGGCGCAGTGGGCACTGCGCCCAGACTATTGGGCATTGCACCCCCAAGAGTTGGGCATTAGACCCAGATTATCTGCTCCTCCTCCTCCTCCTCCTCCTCATCCTCCTCCTCCTCCTCCTCCTCTTGCCCTTACCTCGAATGGGCATGTGCAACCCGAACACCAGGTCCCACGATGGTTCCCGCCGAGGAGGTCCCCAAAGCACACACACTCAAAACGATGCTCAGACTACCAAATGAAATCGCTGGGACAAATGAGAGGTAGATCTTGGTATGGGGGGGCGAGCTATATGGACGCCCCCCAACAAGATCTACCTCATCCTTCTTCTGCAGGGGTCAAGGGGACCTACGGGTTTCCGTAAGAGGAACCACTCTCGTTGCCCCACTCCTCTTCTCAATCCCTCTTTCTCCTCATGCTCTGTATCATCGGCCACCAAACACTGCTATGTTCTATAAGTTCTATAACATCCGAAAGCGAAGGGCCACCAAGCACTGCTATGCTCTATAAGTTCTATAATTTCTATAATTCCTGCAACTATTCCAGGCGGTTTCGAATGGTTGCAGGAATTATAGAAATTACAGAACTTATAGAGCATAGCAGTGTTTGGTGGCCCTTCGCTTTCGAAAATTATAAAACTTATAGAACATAGAAGTGTTTGGTGGCCGATGATACAGAGCATGAGGCGGCGACTGAGGGCGATCGCTTGATCACAACGATTGCCTGAAACGCTTGGGTTCAAATATCCGTGGGTCCCCAGTGTCCTTGTTCCCTTGTTGTTGTTGTTGTTGTTGTTGTTGTTGTTGTGTCTGTTGTTTGTTGTCGTCGTCCCGCTCGCGACCCACCCGCGACCCACCCCGCGACCCACTCCGCGACCCACCCCGCGACCCACCCCGCGACCCACCCCGCGACCCACCCGCGACCCAACCCGCGACCCACCCCGCGACCCACCCCGCGACCCACCCCGCGACCCACCCGCGACCCACCTGCGACCCATCCCGCGACCCACCCGCGACCCACCCCGCGACCCATCCGCGACCCACCCACGACCCACCCGCGAACCACTTGCGACCCACCTGCGACCCACTCCGCGACCCACCCGCGACCCACCCGCGACCCTCCCGCGACCCACCCGGCCTACCCGCGACCGATCCACATTGGTTTGAAGAAAAAGCGGTGCCTGCGGCGGGCTCGTTATATCATTTGAGAAACTTAAGCGCCTGCGGCGGGCTTCTCCGGAGTCTAGCACACTGCCGACGCCCCCGCCGCCCCCTCACTCTTATCCGCATCTGCGGGGTGCTAAGTAGCCCCCGCAGTTGCGGATAAAAGTGAGGGGGCGGCGAGGACGTCGTCAGTCTGTGAGGCTCTGAAGAAGCCCGCCGCAGGCGCCTGACTTTTACAAATTATGCATTGAGCTCGCCGCAGGCGCGGCATGTTTTATTAAAGCAATGTGGATGGATCGCGGCGTGGGTCGCGTCGCGGGTGGGTCGCGGGGTGGGTCGTCGCAGGCTGGGTCGCGGGTGGGTCGCGAGGTCACGTGTTGGGTCGCGGGTGGGTCGCGGACGGGTCGCGGGCTGGGTCGCGGGGTGGGTCGCGGGGTGGTTCGCGGGGTGGGTCGCGGGGTGGGTCGCGGGTGGGTCGCGAAGTTGGTCGCAGGAGGGGTTGCGGGTGGGTCGCGGGCGGGTCACGGGGTGGGTCGCGGGTGCGTCGCGGCTGGGTCGCGGGATGGGTCGCGGGGTGGGTCGCGGGGTGGGTCGCGGGTTGGGTCGCGGGATGGGTCGCGGGGTGGGTCGCAGGTGGGTCGCGGGTGGGTCGCAGGGGGGACGACGCAACAAAACAACAAAACAACAACAAGAATCCTCGCCGTGGATCCCCACTGCATGCACCCAGGCACAGTGAATGACCGTTCGCCCCCTCAGTCTGATCATGCAAACTGCATGGCAATATCATGGCAACTGCGTGGCAATCGCGTGGCAACTGCATGGCAACAGCGTGGCAATAGCATGGCAACTATATGGCAACTGCATGGTAATGGCAGGGCAGCAGCATGGCAACTGGATGGCATTAGCATGGCAGTCGCATGGCAAGTGCATGGCAACATCATGGCAATCACATGGCACATGCACGACAATTGCATGCCAACTGCATGGCATTCACACGGCAATGGCATGGCAATGGTATGGCAACTGAATGGCAATCGCAGGGCAACAGCAAGACAACTGCATGGCGTCCGCAAGGCAATATCATGGCAACAGCATGGCAACTGCATTGCATCAGCATGGCAATTGCATGGCAACTGCATGGCAACTGTATGGCAACAGCATGGCAATGGCATAGCAACTGCATGGCAATATCATGGCGACGGTATGGCAATAGCCTGGCCCGCCCCGCCCCCCCCCCCCTCCAACCCCCCCTCCGCGCCCCCTTCACCCTCCCCATCCACGCCCCCTCCACCCCCCACCATCCACCCCCCCTCCGCCACCCCACCCACTCCCCTTCGGAGCCTCCCAGAGGGCCCCCAAAGCTCCCACGAGTACCCCAACAGGGCCCCAAGAGGCGCCCAGGAAGCCCTAAGAGCCCCCCAAGAGGCTCCCAAGCGGCCCCCAAAGGCCCCAAGAGGCTCCCCCGAGGCTCCGAAGACGCTCCAAGAGGCCCCAGGGACTGCCAAGAGGCCCCTAAGAAGCTCCAAGAGGCCCAAAAGAAGCTCCCAAAAGACATCCCAAGAGACTCCGAGGGCATCCAAGCGGCATCTTGCCCTTCTGCTTGTCCTCGTCCTTATCTGTCCCTTTGTTTCTTCTCCATCCTCCCTCTTCCTCCCTCTTCCTCCCCCCCATCCTCCTCCTCCGTGTCCATGAAGGCTTCCCGAGCCCTTGTTTTTTTCTGTATGCCCCCTCCCCCACTTCTCTGGTCGAGACAACTCGTCTGGGCATCGTTGCTGAATGGGCTGGTGGGGAGACGAGAAGCGTCAAGAATAAGGCGCAGACATGGCCATGGTATGGCACAAGCGTGTCACTGTCAGAGCAGTAACAGAGCAATAGCATAGCAGGGCAACAGAACAGGCAAAACCGGAAAGCCACACCAGAAGCCAGCCTAGGAAGCTCCGCGCGGATTCCTTTCTTTGGATCGGCGCTGGGCCCCCCTGACCGCGCCTCTAGCGCTGCCCCTGGCACGCTCTGCGCACCAGGGAGCGGGGTCCAGCGCCGATCCAGAACACCCACGCCGAGCTGCCAAAGTTTGTGCGTTTTCTTCTTCGATCTCCACGCGGGATATTGATGAGCAAGACCTTGCCCTGCCGCATCAGGTCAAATCGCTCACCATAGACGTTTGTCAAATGCGGATCGCCAAATGCGGAAACTTGCGGGGGCGCCGACGGAGACGGGGATGACGGGGGTGCGGACGTCGGACTCGGCGTTGCCATCGACCCGCTGCTGAAATACAACTCCAGCGGCCCGCCGGAATGGCAACCATTGGAGAAGGCGGTGCCGACCCCAGCGCCGCCAGGACTCCACCCACAATAAGACTTACCACCGCCATTCGTTGCCATAAAAAGAGCTTCGCACCAACAGTGGTCGTCATCAAGGATGAACGCGCCTTCGCCGTGAGCAAAGCTGTCAACCCCATTCCAATTGTAGTCTGTCCTAGTCGTATCGTGATACACTGCCACCCATGGATCGCCATCCAGAACGGAGCCTTCCGTTCCGTCCGCGAACGCCAACCAAGTCTGGTGTGCCACATTGTTAGTAGGATCGAACTGCAACACATATTCGTTGGTCCCGGACTTGACCAATAGCATGGTGTCGCTCTCTGTCAGTCCGGTCGGCAAACGTTGGAAGCACGCCTCACTGTTCCGTGCGCAGCCTGCCGTATTGTAAGCGTTCCCGAGTAACGGTGTAGTAGGCCAAGCTCCACTGGTATACCACCAGAACCGGTGAAACACTACGTTGTTTACAGTCACAGCACCGAAAACAGCGTCGCCACCCTCAGTCGGCAAAGGCGTCGGGCTGGGCGTCGGGGACGAGGTCGGACTGGAGGTCGGGCTGCTCGTCGGGCTGCTCGTCGGACTGGGCGTCGGAGACGGCGTGGATACTGCTGACGCATGGTTTGTCGCGATTTCTGCATTCGTCAAGGCTCGCTGGTATGCATAGGTCAAACCGTAGACGCCATCGAACTTGTAATCCGCCGGACCCCTTATGGGGCCATCAGGCTGCAAGGATCGGGTTTTCTGCTCCCTGCACCACTTGCAGTTTCCAGTCTCCACTGTTACAGTCCTGCTTTCTGCTTCCTACTACTGTAAATTATTGAAGTCCGCGCGAGGGGGGGATCCCCAAACCGTCAGGCCACCATCCCCGAATCGCGTGCTCTGAATTCCTGCGGGGCCGTGGGACACGTAAACATGATCGACCCACGAACCCGGAAAGGAATGTAGAAATGTGATGCATGGCGACGTTTCAGAGACACCTCTCATTGGGCGACGGGCACATGCAATGCTGAGCGTACCGATTTCGATGTACCGTGCCGAAGGTTGTGCTGTGCTGCGCCGTGCTGAATTGCGATGTGCCATGCCGCGATTGTGCTCTATATCGTTATGGATCGAGTCCTTCTTTGCATCCGAGCCCTGACCGAACTGATCTGGATATTCAGCTCGAGCTCTCTGAGCACATAGTGGCTGCCCCGGAGCTAATTGACAGGGGGACATGCCAGAAGAACGCGCCGCGGAACGTCCCAAGGGACGCGCCAGGCGACGTACCAGGGGACGCGCAATGGGGACGCGCCGCGGGACGTGCCAAGGGGACTCGCTACGGAACGTGCTGGGGACAAGCGTTTCGCGCCAGACATCCTGCCCAAACCCTCATGCTAGTCATCCGCCTGGGCGACCTGGACACGTGAAAACAAGCGTTTCGCTCAACACATCCTCAGCACATCCTCATGCTAGACGTCCGCCTGGGCGAACTGGGCACGTGAAAACAACATGTCCGCCACGCTTCTCCCGCCCTGAGGCGTTAGAAACCATGTGTTTTCACGCTTGCCCCGACCTGGGGCATCAGGAACCCATGTGTTTTCACGTTTGTCCGCGGCGGCGGCGGCGGTCGGCCCGGGCGGAGACTCAGGGCAGCACGCAGGCGCGGCGGCTGCGGCGCCGACCGACGCGGCCAGGCCTGCCGCGGACGCCCTCCGAGGGGAGGCCAGGCCTCCACCGCCCCTCGATGCGCGCGCGGCGATGCTCGGCAGCGGCAGGCAGCGCGCGGCCTCCGTGGGCGCGAGGGCTGCGCGATGGCACTCTCCTCCCCGGGAGGGGTCCGAGGACGGCGACCGCTCCCGACCCACGGACCGCGGGGGCTCCCCAGAGGCCCGCGCCCCGGGCAGCGGACGCTGCCCTTGCGGCGATGCGCGCGCCTTGCCGCAGCGGCACCTGGCGGTGCTCGACGGTGCCTCGCTTGCGCAGCCGCCGCCGTCGGGCGCCCTGCAACTGCCGGTGCGTGCAGATGAATGGCGCCGCGGTGGGCCAGGATGGCCCAGGTGCAGGCTGCGGACGCGTCGCGGGGCCGCCGGCCGGCGCTGGGGCCGCCGCCCGCGCGAGGTTGCCGGGAGCAGCGCCTGGCAACCGCCCTCTGCCCGGTCGCGCCGCCGCGGCCGCAGGCAGTGCTGCAGTCGCGCCGCGGCAGGCCCCTGCTCAGCGGGGCGACGGGCGGCTCGCGTCGGCAGGCGGGAGGCTGGCGCGGCGCCGCCGGCAGCGCGGCTGCCGGCGCGAGCGACGGGGGGAGGCGTCCACGATGAGGGCCAGGATCGCCCGAGCGCGAGCTGCAGTTGCGTCGCGGGGCTGCTGGCGCTGCTTCGGCCCTCCCTGGATCGCCGGCCGCTGAGCCCATGGAGGGGCGCCAGGGTTGGAGAGGCGCAGCACCCTGGCCCGCCGCCCGCGCCTCGGATGGCTAAGTGGCTCGTGGCTAACGTCACCAGTTGGCGCGCGGGCTGGAAGGGTCTCCTCGCGGCGGGCGCCGACGCGCGGTTCGTCCAGGAGGCGCGCATCCCGTCAGGAGAAATGGAGGCGGCCGCGGCCGGCGCCTTGCAGCGCGGAATGCGGCTGGGAGGAATGTCTGCTCTCTGCCGCGAGCCGCGCTGGGGGCTGCATGGCGCGCGCAGGCCGGCACGCAGGCCGCCTTCAGCATGTCGCCCTCCACTTTGGCGCGGGCAAGGCCGTTCACATCATGAATGTGCACAGCTACGCCGGGGGCTGGGCTAATCTGAAACGCAACGCCGAATTGATTTTGGAGGGCGTGGAGTGGTTGCGAGGCCGCGGCGCGGTCCCGGCCTTCCTTGTCGGCGACCTCAACTGCGGCCTTTCTGATGCGGGGTTCGACGGGCTGCTGTCCATGGCCGGATGGCGGGACGTCCTCGCCGCCGCGGGGCCGACCTGCATCCCCTCCCAGCGCATGCCGTTTCGCCTGGATCATGCGCTCGCCAGCCCCGCCGCCCTCGGCTGGTCGGTGCGGCTGGCCATTTTGGCTCAAGGGGTCAAGCCATTTTGGCTCAAGCTCGCTGCACAAGCCAAGGTTTCGCGCACGGGCTCGCCCGGGTGCCCCCCCCCCCCTTGCCCTGGGGCCGGCGGGGGCTGGATGCCATGGGCGGGGTATCTCCAAACCCGGGTTGGTCTGGGGGGTCGCTGGCTGTCCAGGTCTTTGTGGAGGCCTCGGGGAGCGAGCGCCGTCCACGCCTCCCCTGAAAAATGCTGCATCGCAATGTGTCTTGCTCTGCGCAGGGAACCCGGGGCGCGGATGGAGGGTCGGGGGTTGGCGGAGAGCTTTGGCAAGCATGGTTTAGAGTGGTCGGGCCTTGCTTTCCCTCCTGTCTCCCCTTGCCTCTCTCCCCTTCCCCCCGCCTCCCCCTCCCTCCCCTCCTGCCGCTCCCCCCCCCCCGCCCCGCCTGCTCCCCGTCATGGTTATCCGATCGCTATTGCACCACACTTGCAGTGCAGGGCCCGCACGTGTTTGCTTGCGCTGGTTCTCGTCGTCGGACGCGTTTGCTTGCTTTCGCTGCACGCGTGCCTCATGACTTTGCGTGCGCGCTCCACGCGTGCCTGATCACGCGCCTCATGTCACCCTGCTAAAGTGGTTTTGCTACCTCGCCTTGGGGCACGGATGAAGAATGCAGACCAGAGTGTTTGATATTCTGGGTGTTCGGGTTGCCTACTTTCGCGTTGCACTAACCTGATTTGCCTTTGTCACATTATGGTACTTGACATCTCCTCCGTCTGCTCGAGCCCGCGTTGGCGGACCGGCTGAGGTTGCTTGCCCTTGCCGTGCAGGGATATGTTTTGCTTTCGTTGTCTTGTGTTGCTTATTTATGCGAAGCACGATCGAGCATAGCAGAGCCGTCACGGTGCAGTTTAACAGGCAAGGTCTTAAAGTTTCTCTGCTACCTCTGGGAGGGGGGGAACGTTTTGTCCGCCCCATCGGGCGCAACTCCGGAGACGGGGGGGGACAATTTGTTAACCTCTCTGTCCCGGCCACGTGGCCGATGCCACCGATGTGTTGTTGCAGTATGGTTAGAAAGCCTGAGCCTTTGTCACGGTGCAGTTTGGTTGGAAAGCCTGAGCCTATGTCACGGTGCAGTTTAACTGAAAAGGTCTTGAAGTTTCTCTGCTACCTCCGGGGGGGGGGTCGATTTGTCCGATGTGTTGTTGCAGTATGGTTGGAAAGCCTGAGCTTATGATCTTATGATGGCAACGACGCTATCCCACTAAGTGGGATTGTGGGTGGCGCAAATCTGAAACTAGACCCCGGGCCCCTGCGCTTCCCAAAGTGTCACAAGGATGTACACGTTTTGCGTCACAGTCGTGATGCGGGCCTTAATCAATTGTTGTAGTGTGCGCGTCATCCCTCCAGTGTGTTTCTTGTCCAATGCCTTTGTCACCGCTTGTTAGTCGGAGTTTGGGCTCCATTACCATAGGGCTCATCAGGTTCGCCACTTCCCCGCAGTTTCCGGCTGCGGCAGTAGGCAGACATGGCGAGATCGAAATCCCGTTCGAGACGGCGGCGGCGCAGGGACAAGTCCCGGAACCGGGACAAGAAGCGCCGGAACCGTTCGACGGAGCAGGCGCACGACAAACATGATATCGAGGACAATGAGGTGTCGCCGACACCCCCAGCCAGCCCCCGGGCTGCAGCACAGGCGCACAGTGATAGTCTTGCCCGCCAGCTGGGCGCCTTGATAGACGCAGATGGCGCAAAAGCCGCAGCCCCAGTAGGCAGCCCAAATTCGGCACGTTCCCCTTTCGATGCGCCCTTTGACGTTCCGCCGCCGCCGCCCCCGCCACCGCCGCCCCCGTCTCCTAAGACAGCGGCGGGCGCGGGCGCCATTTTAGACCGTCCGCCGGGCGAGTGGCTAGCAAAGTCGCCGCCGCGCGTGCGGTTGTCTCCAGCTGTGCCTGTTTCCCCCGGGCCTCCGTCGGGCGCGCCCCCCATTTTGCCGTCGGGTTGGGAGCCGCGTTGGGCGGTTAATGGCGCGCTGTACTACCAGAACAGGACAACCGGCCAGACGCGCTGGGACCACCCGGGCATAGTAGGGCCGCAGCGCAGCGTGGTGGAGCCACGGACTGCGCCTTCTCCACGGCCCGCAGCTGTGGAAGATGCTGTAGCGCGTCTCACTATGCAGATGGACGCCGTCCAGGCGTCGCGCCCGCCCTGGGAAAAATTTATCTCACCAGTCACGGGCGCCGAAGTGTGGCAGAACAAACTGTCGGGCAACATTGCACACAATGAGCCGCAGGAGGTCGCAGCTTGGGCGGCCCAGGTGGCC